CCATTCTTCACACGATACTTTTGGGGATTGGACAAGGTACTGTTGTCACTGGGAGGTCTTACAAGGGACTAAAGAAACAGCACGACCTCAACCATCACTGCGTCGAATCCGCATGAGCCCGCACACTGCCTGACCAATCGTAGCGCTCCGTGTGCCGGAATGATACTGTTACCAATCCCTGCCCCTCAACACTCCTGGAAGAATCCACTTCTTGCCTGGGGGAGTAAGGTTTCCAGACATTCCAGGGAAGCTAGAATGTATTATCTCATCAGATATCCCCCCCTCACCCCCAAACACCACACTGAGGGCAAGAACATCCTGCCTGTTGCCATTGGTATAAGTAAAAGTTCCCGACGTGGTAGAATGGCGCAACCCACCCCAGGATTCACATAAGAATGCCATTAACTCTATCCTCAAATTATGCATCTCCCGTTAATCTGCACACATGCCTTGGTCCTAGGGGGTGTGGGTACACTATAGTGGTGAATCAGCGAGGCAGAGGCGAGGGGGGGGGGAGGGGAGGACATGGAAAGCAGAGGGGAGGAGGAGGGTGATGTAAAGAACAGTGCCATGACCACCAGCCACTGAGGTTCACAAGGGCCGTGCTAGAAGGGCTACAAGAAATAATATAAGGGAAGGCTACAGGGCGAAGACAAGGCGGTGGGGAGAGACAAGGTGGGGGGCAACAAGCAGCGGGGAAAGATGGGGTAGGTGAGGGGGGTCTTAAGGAGGAAACAAGGAGGAGGGATCAGAAGGGAGCAACACGGGGGAAGGAGGAGGGGAAAAGCTTCAGAGGGCGCAGGAGGCGGAGCTAGGAAGGGCCAGAGGGGGCGGGGCAGCTGGAATAGTGGGCAAAGAGCAGTGAGCTGACGCACCATTGGTAGAGAAGGGAAAGAGGGGCGGAGTTACACGCCCACTGTCGGGAGGCGACCGGGAAGACTCACTTGCTACAGAGCCAAGACTCACATTGAAATCTCTTGAATATACAAGTGAGTGTTGTTACCAGCGTCACTCGTGTTGTGGTGATGATATACACACCATCTAAACAACACCATATCTTTCACCACCAAGATACTGGTAAAGCACTTTCTAACTTCTTAAAGAACTACCAAATTTTTACGGTAGAAAATACAACAGACTTCGATATTATATATTCTGAGAACTAGGATCAGCATGTAGATAACTCACACACTGAATAATCTACACATAACACCCACGGATTACACTTGTTGGTGATATAATTTCCTGTGAGTGAGTGAGCTGGCATCCCCATAATCCCGCTGGTCAAGCCTAAGTCGGTCTTATATCATGACTACTTCCCTCTCACGCCTCCACCTTCCAGCTAAGACGGATGTGGACGTCCTTCACTTGACTGCTTGTACAGGGGGTCGACTACCCGTCTTGTAGGACGGGATGGCTACCTCAGCTTGTAGGAGGGACGGGGATGGCTACCTCAGCTTGTAGGAGGGACGGGGATGGTTACCTCAGTTTTGTAGGAGGGACGGGGATGGCTACCTCAGCTTGTAGGAGGGACGGGGATGGCTACCTCAGCTTGTAGGGAGGGACGGGATGGTTACCTCAGTTTTGTGGGAGGGACGGGGATGGCTACCCTCAGCTTGTAGGAGGGAGGGGATGGCTACTCAGCTTGTAGGAGGACGGGGATGCCTACCTCAGCTTGTAGGGAGGGACGGGGATGGCTACCTCAGCTTGTAGGAGGGACGGGGATGGCTACCTCAGCTTGTAGGAGGGACGGGGATGCCTACCTCAGCTTGTAGGAGGGACGGGGATGGCTACCTCAGCTTGTAGGAGGGACGGGGATGCCTACCTCAGCTTGTAGGAAGGCAGGGACGACTATCTCAACTTTGAGGGGGCAAGGGCGATAATTTCAGCTTGTAGGGGGTCGGAAATGTTTACCTGGGGTCGTAGGGGTTGCTGCTCAGCTTGGCGCTAAATACTACACTCGCCAACACTTCCGTCGGTGCACTCAAGAGTCCTCCTCCACCACCACCACACAACCATCCTATACTGTGTACCACGCCAGGGTAAAGTAGCGACAATGGTAAGTAGCGACGGACAGCTAGCGAGTGAGGCGAGTGGCGCTCGGTGCCACCACCAACACCCGCGCCGCTACCACGAAGCCGGCGCCACCCTCCACCACTTACTCTCCCTCGGCGCCACCCTCCACCACCTACCCCCACTAGCGCCACACACTCCACCACCTACCCCCACCGGCTGCCCACCACCACCACCGGCGCCACACTCCACACCTACCCCCACTGGCGCCACACCCACCACCTACCCCCACTGGCGCCACACTCCACCACCTACACCCCACTGGCGCCACACTCACCACCTACCCCCACTCAGCGCCACACTCCACCACCCCCCACTGGCGCCACACCCACCACGCACCCCACTAGCGCCACACTCCACCACCTACCCCCCACTGGCGTCACACCTCATAACACCATCTGTGAGGGAATTACCACACACGTGATCCCTCATGACACCATCTGTGAAATTATCACCACGATGTCCCTCATGACACCATCTGTGAAACACACCACGAGGCCTCATGACCATCTGTGAGGAATTGACACCACGTGATGCCCTCATGACACCATCTGTGAGGAATTACTCCACCACGTGATGTCCCTCATGACACCATCTGTGAGGAATTACCACACCACGTGAGGCCCCCATAACACCATCTGTGAGGACCACACCACGTGATGGGAATTCCTGAGCCCTCATGACACCATCTGTGAGGAATTACTACACCACGTGATGTCCCTCATGACACCATCTGTGAGGAATTACACACCACGGAGGTCCCCATAACACCATCTGTGAGGGAACTACTACACCACGTGAGGCCCTCCTAACACCATCTGGGAGGGAGTTATTACACTACATGTTTGCTGTTCAACACCCACATTAATCTGTATGTTCACTGTATGTTCCTTTACCTTTCTAATGAAGGCTTTTGTTAAACCACCAATGTATGTATTAAGTCATATATGTCCAATGTATATTTTCAGCCTCGGCTGCAGAAATTTTCAAAAACCGTTAATTATTATTATTATTAACCCTACTTAGCGCGCCACACTCCACCACCCACTTGCATCAACACATCACCACCTACCCCCACTGGCGCCACACACCACCACCTACCCCCACTCACGCCATACCCACCACCTACCCCCACTGGCGCCCAATGAGATAGCCACGGCAAACTTCCTCAGAACCTCAAACATTACTGCCACACTGAAGCCTGGACTCTAGTCACAGTGCCAGGCAATATTGTACCAGACAACTCATGGCTGCCATTTATGTATACCATGCGGGCTCTCATCTGTGGGCTGGGTATGGTGTTGGGGCACTGTGGGCTGGGTATGGTGTTGGGGCACTGTGGGCTGGGTATAGTGTTAGGGCACTGTGGGCTGGAATGTGTTAGCACTGTGGCTGGGTATGGTGTTAGGGCACTGTGGGCTGGGTATGGTGTTGGGGCACTGTGGGCTGGGTATAGTGTTAGGGCCGTGGGCTGGGTGTGGTGTTGGCACTGTGACTGGGTATAGTGTTGGGGCACTGTGGGCTGGCATGGTGTTGGGCACTGTGGGCTGGGTATGGTGTTGGGGCAACTGTAGGTTAGGCACTGTGCTGGGTGGTGTTGGCACTGTGGACTGGGGTTGGCACTGTGGGCTGGGCAGGTGTTGGCACTGTGGGGGTGTGGTGTGGGGCACTGTGGGCTGGGTATGGTGTTGGGGCACTGTGGGCTGGGTATAGTGTTAGGGCACTGGCTGGGTGTGGTGTTGGGGCACTGTGGACTGGGTATAGTGTTAGGGCACTGTGGGCTTGTATAGTGTTAGGGCACTGTGGGCTGGGTATAGTGTTAGGGCTGTGGGCTGTATGGTGTTCGGGCACTGTGGGCTGGGTATAGTATTGGGGCACTGTGGGCTGGGTATAGTGTTAGGGCACTGTGGGCTGGGTATGTGTTAGCACTGTGGGCTGGGTGGTGTTCGGGCACTGGGCTGGGTATGGTGTTCGGGCACTGTGGGCTGGGTATAGTGTTGGGGCACTGGGCTGGGCAGTTAGGGCACTGTGGGCTGGGTATAGTGTTGCAAGGACGAGTGGGGCACTGTGGGCTGGGTATAGTGTTAGGGCACTGTGGGCTGGGTAGTGTTGGGGCACTGTGGACTGGGTATAGTGTTGGGGCACGGTGGCTGGGTATAGTGTTGAGGCACTGTGGACTGTATAGTGTTAGGGCACTGTGGGCTGGGTATGGTGTTAGGGCACTGTGGGCTGGGTATGTGTTAGGGCACTGTGGGCTGTGGTGTTGGGGCACTGTGGGCTGGGTATGTGTTAGGGCACTGTGGGTTGGGTGGTGTTCGGGCACTGTGGGCTGTGGGTGTGTGTTGGGGCACTGTGGGCTGGGTATAGTGTTAGGCACTGTGTGGGTATGGTGTTAGGGCACTGGGGCTGGGGTGGTGGCACGGCTGGGTATAGTGTTAGGCACTGTGGGCTGGGTATAGTGTTAGGCACTGTGGGTTGGGTATGGTGTTCGGGCACTGTGGGCTGGGTATAGTGTTGGGCCTGGGTTGGGTATGTTAGGGCAATGTGGGCTGGGTATAGTGTTGGGGCACTGTGGACTGGGTATAGTGTTAGGGCACTGTGGGCTGGGTATGGTGTTCGGGCACTTACCCTCCTGGATCCGGTGTAGTAAAAAAAAGCCATCACAACAATCAACAATATTAATAAAAATACAAGAACACTGAAAGGAATACGCCATCATTCCTCTGTTGTGTTGATACCTGGAGTGAATCGTGACGAGATGCTCCCAACAATGGCACATGAGCCTACGAGGATAACAGGGAAGACCTAACCTAACCCAACTTATATAGGGTGTCCCAGAATAATGTCCCTGCCTCCCTTCCCTGCTTCTCCCCCCTCCCTGCCTGCTCCCTGCTTGCCCCTCTGCCCCTGAAATCAACAAAACTAACCTCACAATAAGTCAGTCAGTCAGTTGGTTCCCGTTGGTCGTTCGCTTCACCAAGTCTGAAAGAACAAGACGAAAATAAATAAATATATGTTATAATTTATATCTTAAAGTAACAAGTAACATTAACTGACAGAAATAGAGACAGGAAGTATAGACAGAGACATAAACAGGAAGCATGGACAGACACTCCTAGACAGTCATTGTCTGGGATGGCGAGGGTCTCTCTCTCATTCATCAAATTCATTTCATTCCATTGCTGTTTATCCCTTTTGTTATAGTTTGAGTAAAAAGGTTGGTACAAAGCCACGTGTCCTCGTGCTTGTGTGTGGGCTAGAGGAATACTTGGAAAATGAATAGGGAAGAATTGATGCTGGTTGACAATAATGAGTAAACTGAGGGTAAAGGAGAGACTGGGATGGATGAGTGGAATTACAAGATGTGTCCCCAGAGCTGTACTAACACTGGGAGGATTAGACAACTCGAAAACCAACCCTCCCACATTGACTCTACAATACGTAAATGAACATAATATTGTTTTTTTTTTAATTTCTACTGTATTTATGTCCTTAGATATAAAAAGTAAACAACAGAATACCAAGTTTCTTCCCGCTAAGATATGTTTCAAACTACTAAATACTCCCCACTTTCAATATCATCTTAATACTGTTCAATATTTTCGTTGGTAAACACTCGATGATCGTACGTCACACACTAAAAGGACATCGAATCGATCTAGGAGGAAGCACTCAGGCTCTCGACCACCCCGGCAAGATATGAGTAACCGTAACAAATACAGCAACTGAGGCAAAAATATCCAACTGGGTGCTTATCTGAGACATCCATTTATGAGCGAGAGAGAGACACAGTGACAGTTAATCCATAAAGGCAATAACTTAGACGGTCCACACACCCATACATGAGCAATGGTTCCGGATTCCATCGTCAAAATCACCACTTGGGTATGACAAGAGCCTAGAGCACAGCATCCTGGCCAAGGGGAATTACCCCTTAGGCCAAGTGGTCATAGGAAACAGTGTGGTACTGGGATCATCTTAATAGGTGCCGTCCATCCCAGGGGCTGGTTGAGGAGGAGCACAACCACTTGTCCGCGCCCACAACATGAAGCATCATTTTGTTCTCCTTCTCACTACACACACACTACACATCCTACACACCCCACACACTACATCCCACACACTACACACCCCACACACTCACACATCCCACACACTACACACCCCACACACCACACATCCTACACTACAAATCCCACACACCACACATCCCATACCACACATCCCACAAATCCCACACACCCCACACATCCCACACACCACACCCCACACATCCCACAAATCCCCACACACACACCCTACACACCACACATCCCACACACCACAACCCACACACACACACCCACACATCCCACATACCACACATCCCACAAATCCTACACACACACCCCACACACTACACATCCCACACATCCCACAACCACACACACCACACACACACACTACACATCCTACACATCCTACAAATCCTACACACTACACACCCTACACATCCTACATACTACAAATTCTATATCCTAAACATCCTCCACAGTCAACCTTTTGCACGCTACACATCATTCAAAATACACACACTGTACTACACCCTACACACATTCCATATTTATTATCACAAACTACCCGCTCCCGGGGAAGCGAGTCACACCCCAGGGGGGCACTCAACAGGGGAGGCTAGTCACACACTCAACAGGGGAAGGCGAGTCACACACTCAACAGGGGAGGCAGGTCACACCTTAACAGGGGGAGGCGAGTCACACCAACAGGAGGAGGTGAGTCACACACTAACAGGGGAGGCTAGTCACACACTCAACAGGGGGAGCGAGTCACACACTAACAGGGGAGGCGAGCTCACACTCAACAGGAGGAGGCGAGTCACACACTCAACAGGGGAGGCGAGTCACACACTAACAGGGAAGGCGAGTCACACACTCAACAGGGGGAGGCGAGTCACACACTCAACAGGGGAGGCGGAGTCACACACTCAACAGGGGGGGCTAGTCACACACTCAACAGGGGGAGGCGAGTCACACACTCAACATGAGGAAACACTCAATAGGGGGGAGGCAGGGAGGCAGATGGGTGCTAACTGTCCCCCTCCACTGATCAAATTAGGATGGCGAGGGATAAATGGGGTGTGTCAAGGCGTCGTCCATTCTCCAGATTAAGTGACGTTTAAGTAAATGTTACAAGAGGGGCCTCGAGGGCCTCCTGTCCCGGGCCGTGTGTGTGTGTTGCATCACTGGATCAGGTAAAGGAGAGCCAAGATGCGTGGTTCCAGCCTGCACTCCCGCCTCCCCACATAAATCAACTCACGCGCAGCCATTATCCAACTCATCATACTTCTTCTCATCACCAAAACCCCTATACCCCCAAAAGTCGTATGGCGATAGAAGAGTGGCGACGGGGACAGGCAGAGATAATTGCCGGGAGTCTCTAGTCACAACTCTGCACATGGCGGTACAGCTAAGATGGTCGTTTATGCACTGGGATCTAGGCAGCAGTGCAATCAGTTCCTGTCTGTGCGACTGAGCAGCCCTTTCGAGAAGCCACTCTGCTCACCCCACATGGGGGGGGGCTTGAGAAAGGTGCCTTAAACACAGCCTGCCAAAAGAACCAACCTGAGTGGGCGACCGCACCCAGCAAGGTCATCCTTCTGCGGTCGAAAACACAATCATAATCACAGATCATACCAAAAAACAAACTATATAAATTCTTATGGTCGCTGCATGGAATGTAAGGACCCTTCTGGATAAAGGCACAGATGAGTGTCCTGAAAGATGAACCGACCCTTTTGGCAAAAGAGCTGGCTAGGTATAGCATCGACCTTTCAGCCATTAGTGAGTCCCAGCTCCCAGACGAGGGTCGACTCACAGAACGGGGGTCTGGCTATGCCTTCTTCTGGAAGGGTAAGCCTGCTGTGAAGAGAAACCGCATCTATGGAGTTGGCAATGCATCAACGAGCGCCTCATGACACTCTGAGTCCACTTTTCATCAGTGCATACGCCCCAACACAAGATGCAGAGGATGACATCAAGGAGGCCTTTTACGCCGACCTTGACAGAGTGCTAACCTCTATCCCCAGAAGATAAGGTTGTGTTCCTTGGTGACTTCAATGCTAGAGTTGGCAGAGATGCCGAAATTTGTCAAGGAATCATAGGGAGATGTGGACTAGGCAAATGTAATCCCAAAGGCCTACTCCCCCTCAACAAGTGTGCAGCACACAATCTCACTATCACCAATACCTTGTTTAGGCAGGCCACCAAGTTCAAGGGTTCGTGGCAACACCCACAATCCAAATACTGGCATCTCATTGACTACATCATTGTCAGAGAGAGATCGCCGAGATGTCCTATCACCTGAGCCATGCGTGGCTCAGACCACTGTGACACTGATCACCGGCTTGTCAGGCAAGCTCTCACTTCACATAGCCCCAAAACAGCGAAGGCTACAAGGTTTTAACACTGAGCGTCTGGAAGATCCAGCGGTAGCATAATCTTTCAGAGAACAGCTCGAACATGGGCTGATAAACAACCCAAATCCTAGTGCCCAAAGAGGTATTCTCGACACTGTCATGACAAAAACCTGCAGAGACCCTTGGCTAGATCGAGAATACCAGGACTGGTTTGATGAGAATGACCAAGAAATCAATGTACTTCCGATGACAAACATGCTGCTGTAACTGACTGGCAAAACAACCCTCAGTCTGATACCTTCTGCAAGAAGAAAGCGGTGGCCCAGCACAAACTTCTCAATCAAAAGAATGGCTGGTTTAAAAATATAGCACGTGAAACGCAAAAACTTGCAGATCAACACAAGATGCGCTAATTTTTGAATTCCACTAAATCATTTTATGGGCCGATCACTCATGGCGAAGCCTCCCTCTGCTCATCCGGCAGTAATTCCCTAATTAAATACGAAGAAGGCCTCCTTCAGTGCTGGAAAGAGCTCTACTATTCGGTGCTCAATCAAAACACCGATGTGGATGCCCTGACTACCCAGCAGGTCCCTCAGCATCCAGAGCTGACCCACCATAGATATCTTCTATCCTCGGATGAGGTAACTACTGCCATTAAACTAATGAAAAATAACAAAGCCTCAGGGCCTGATGGAATCCCAGCCGAGGTGTATAAAGCAGGAGGACCTCTCCTGGAGAATATATGGGACAAGGAAAATCCCCAAGCTCTTAAAGACGCCTCCATCATCAATATTTATAAGAACAGGGGAGACCGGTTAGACTGTGGCAACTACCGTGGGATCTCGCTGCTGTCCGTAGCTGGCAAGATTATAGCCCAAATCCTTCAAAACAGACTTCTTCTTGAGGTGAATACCTTCCTCCCAGAATCTCAATGTGGCTTTAGACCATCACGTGGCACCACTGACATGATCGTTGTTGCCCGCCAGATACAGGAAAAGTGCAGAGAACAGTCGTGACCTGTACATGGCCTTTATTGACCTAACCAAGGCCTTCGACTTGGTCAACAGGGCAGCCCTATGGGGAACCCTCAATCTTTTTGGCTGCCCACCAAAATTCATTGCCACTGTGAGGCAACTCCACAATGGCATGAACGGCAGTGTCCTGTACAACGGCACACAGTCTGAGTTTTTCCCCATCCAAACGGGGATAAAACAAGGACGTGTATTGGCACCAACTCCATTTTCTTGGCTGCCTTGCTCATGCCAATGCCAATTTAGCTGGCTGGGTGGACATTCAGTACTGGATGAAGGGCATTTTCAACATAAGACAACTCCAGGCAGGAACAAAGGTGTCGGCAGCTTTCATTACTGTACTTCAGTGTGCGGACAACCTCACCCTTGTCGCTCACACTGAATGCATCCTACAGATCCTGAACAGCCGATGCAGCTGCGTATGCACACTTCGGCCTTGAGGAGAATGTATGTAAGACTCAGATTCCTCTTCGGCCTGCCCCTGGTTCAGTCACACCTCCACCATCCATCCAGCTTAACGGTACTACCCTCTCTAA